AAAAAAAAGAAAATTTCCTGTTTATGCTCATCCTTCAATAATAACCATCAACCCAGAATATGCAGACTGAATTGTAATTCGTATACCCATCAATGTTAGCTTTAAGTTATGAACTGAACTCCAGTTAATTTAAACTTGGTTGCATGTTTTTCTCAACTTGTGATGGAAGCATAAAAAATTCATCTCAATATCTTTATTTTTTTAGGAAAATAAAACTAAAGAAATAATAAAACAAAATGATATCAGTTTTATGAAATGCTACAAAGGAAGAGGGAAAAGCCAGTGACATTCTCTTAGCAGCATGTAGCCCGAAGAATATTAGGGCATAAAAATGAAAATGTAGCTGTCTTGTGTGTGTTGACTGGGAAAAGTGGAATTGTAACTGCCTGTTTCCAGCTGGACATCTGCGTTTACAATTTAGGAGGAACACAGTTACTTGAGATTTGCATGTGACCATTGACAGAGCAGTCATGATGGCTCTGGGGAGTGAATGAGGAGGTAGAAAAACACATTAACTTGGTCTTGAGGACCTTTAAATTTGAAGGGGTTGTAGGGAATGGTCACAAAGAAGCAGCAAGGAAAGAAACTTATGAGACTGGGCATGGTGGTGCGTATCTATGATCCCAGCTCTTGGGAGGATGAGTACAGGAGGATCACGAGGAGTCTGATCTGTGTAGTGAGATCCTGTAGACCCTTTACTAAATACAAAAAGAAAGATAAAAAGAAAGAACTATATGAGTTCAGTGAGAGACAGCGATGCACAATAGGTAGTTTAATATCCATTGTTATTTGCTCCTCTCTTACTTGATTATGAAAGTTTTTGTTTTGCTTTTTCATAAAATAAAAATTTTAAAGTAAGTTTAGCTTTAAAGAAAAAAGGTATTTCAGAAAACAAACTTGCTTTGAAGCATAATCAATGGATTTATGTGGATTGCAGCTCTGGTACAAAGGGAAATTCGAGGACAGTGAGTAGAAATAATCAGCTAAAACTCTATTACAGTAGGCAAAAAGTTGAACAGGACAAAATCACTTAGCAATAGAACTTAGCTTATATTGGAAGAAATTCTGGGAGGTTTACTTTCAGAGTGGGTTTAAAAAGAAGAGCTCAGAGGTCCTGCCAGCTGGAGCCTGCACCCTTTGACTTGTCACAATCATGGATTTGCTGCTCATAGCCCCACTGATTCTCTGGCCTCAAGTTTCTTACCTTAAAAACATTAAGAATAATGTTATCACACCAGTTTTTAACACGACCAATCAGCTGTCATGCCTGAAACAGGGATGACAGATTTCCTTTAGCCCTAAATATAAAATGTACATCTGTAAGAAGAAAGAGGATCTCTCAGATAGCTCAGCAGACTAAAGCACCTGCTTAGGCAGGTGTAGGGACCGGGGTTCGATCTCCTGCCCCTGGGGCATGCTGAGATGGCGATTGAGACTGGGCATGATGGCACGCGCCTGTAACCCCAGCCCTTGGGAGGCTGAAAACAGGAGAATTGCTGCAAATTGGATCTACATAGTGAGACCCTGTAGATCTTGTGCTAAATACATGAATAAAAGAAAGAAAGAAAGGAAGAAAGAAAGAGAAAGAAAGAAAGAAAGAAAGAAAGGAAGGAAGGAAGGAAGGAAGGAAGGAAGGAAGGAAGGAAGGAAGAAAGAAAGAAAGAAAGAAAGAAAGAAAGAAAGAAAGAAAGAAAGAAAGAAAGAAAGAAAGAAAGAAAGGAAAGAAGGACCCTGGGAGTGGAAGCCCATCACCTCAAGGAGCACCAGAGACCCAGCAAGGCAGTAACAGGACTCCCAAGAGGAAATGCATCTTCGCTTGCAGACCAAACAGCAATGTCTACTTCTAGAGTCTCAAAGATGGGGTTTGGAAACCAACTTTGGCAATACTTAGGATTAATTATAGAACTACTTTTGTGAAAAAGTCTCCCTAGAAAAGAAATTTGCTGTGGGAAGTGGAAGACAATTCATTTCTATTTGTCAGTTCTAACCTGAAAACAATGAATGGGTAAGTAAAAACATTAAAAAAAAAAAACAAAAAAAAACCAAAACAGTGTATACCATGGTGCACAGTTTTGATTGGCATCCCAAGTTTTGCTGACAAGATGTTTTCTGCCTATGTTGAAGTAGATGGGCAGCCAACCAGTAAGCCTTGATGGAGCAAAGTGCCTTTTGGCAACTGATGCCTGAGTGCAGTGGCAGTGGCACTGGTGACTGGATCTACGGTGTCAGCTTCTCTGCAACTGAACCTGATCAACCAGGACAGCACCATGTCTCTTGTGCCTGACTCAAAAAGTGTGCATCTCTCTTCTCTAAAGAATGGAGTTCTCATCATTCTTAAGTGTGTATTTGGTCTCTGAGAGTAGCATGCTAGCTCCTGGCTATTATGCTTGCCCAATACTATTTAGCTATGATGATTGTGACTTTCTACACTTTGTCTCCAAGTTAGATGTTCTAAAGCAGAACACCCAGAGAAACCTACCTGCCACTGAATCCTCCTTAACATGGTCATGGCCAAAGACCTCATTACAGCCTTGGACACACTGCACCAGAATAGGTCACTAAAGTGTCTATTTATGAGGCAGACAAGAAAGATTGCTGTGAATTTTGCAGTACTGGATCCATGGAGTCTTGTCAGTTTGAAACTTGAAAATCTTAGACTCTCCCATTCAAAGCATCTGAATGAAGTGACGCTGAGTGGGGATCCCATTGGCTGATGTTGCCATTTTCTTGATGGTCAAGAAGGCCAGCCCCGGAAGCAATGTAAATATATAATACACATATATTGTGTGTTATTATTTGAATAAAACTGTTGGAAGTATTGGCTTCTAAAAGCAGTAGTGATTTTGTTTTTGCTGTTTCATTTCATTCTTGAGCAAAGTTTCTCTTTAAGTAGCTTATTATGGAAAAATGTCACAGTAAATTAAAGGAAACAATGAAGATAGACTTGCCTGAGCAAAATTAAATTTAAAAATTAGACATATGTATTTTAAAAAGGTAAAGAAAAAAGCAGGTGGATAGTTTATTTCTTTGCAGTTTTCTCCTTTTTCAAATATACTTGCATTCATATAGATCTCATGAATGTAATGGCATGTTGTGTTAATACGTTTAAGACTTTGTCCATTTAAAATTATAATACATTTAGTTATAGTTCTGATCTATTGAGATTATGTTGAATATCAGTACGATGCTCTGTGGAGGGAATCTATGACTGCAAAGGAAAAACAGATGAAATTGGTGATTTCAGTGACTGCTGAATGGGTAAAATTAAAAATCAGAAAGATTGTTGGAGCAAGAGGAAGGAGAATAGGAGGACACAAGGACTCCTGATGTCTGTCCTTCCTCCTAGGAGTCAGGCAGTTTCTTTCACTCACTTCCATCATAGTTAGCCTTACTACTACTCACAGGCAACAACAGCTTTCTAGGAATGTTGACTATCAGAGGAAAATTGTGTATCAAAAATTACTGAAAATAAATTCAGGTCCCTCTTGTCAGTTTTATTTCACTATTGTAGATCTAAAGTCTGGATGAAAGAGAAAGTAATCCAGAAGAAGCAGAAACAACATTTTACCCAACAAATATTAACTGAAGGCTTTAAAGTTTAAGACTCTGAAACCATTTTTAAAATGCATGTTGATTTGATTTAGCCTCATAAACTTCATGTCATTACTCCATATTTTCCCCCTTGAGACAGAAAATGATGGGCCCAGAAACTCAACTGAACGTCATTGTTCTTGAAAATGTGGGAATGTACCTAAGATAGGGGGAGTCAGAGACTGTGAAGTCATGCAGGCCAAAAGAGATCTGGAAAATCCATGGGCTATCTTCTGGGTGCGTGGTTTTTCTTTTTCTTTTCTGAAATTTAAGCAATCAATGTACTGACAGTCATGTCAATGTATTTAAAGTTAATTTAGAGTCACTTATATATAAACTTATATTTTATTGTTGTTTTACTACTTTGAATACCAGTAAGCTCCTTGGCTCCTTTTCCTCCTTTTTATAGGCTGAAATATGTAACCAATTGACTCCTTCATGAAAACGTTACTACTGATGATATAATTGCTTCTGGAATTATTGGCCTTAATTAATTACTTATGACATTCTCATACCATATTGCTATAGCAACCTTATAATTCTGTTACAGATGAATATGATAAGAATTCTTTTACATTAATTCCTAGTTTTATAAATTTTATGTAGTTTTATAGCTATTACAATCTTATACATATATTGAAAATAACCAAAATACCGTGGATGTACAGATTGGCACACTTCATTATAGCAGAATGGGAGCAAACTGTAGCAGTCAGTCTGTCCACCAACACACACACACCCACACTCACATACACACACACCTGAAAAGGAAGAAAAAAACTAAAATAACTGCAATCACA